ATATATAAAAAGTCTTTCCAATGCCTATAGGCGATTGGGAACAATGATCTCGCCCCACTACCATCGACCGTCGGTTTAATTTTGGGGAAACTCACGGTTGTGATCGGCTCGAAACCAAATTGTGTGGCAAAGCAAAAAGCTTCAAACCGATAAAGATTTCACCCCATACCCCTCTCCTCTGGTGTTCTCTGCTAACCTGCCCTGTCTCAAATTGTAGGGGCTCACCTTCCTCTCCCCAAGCCATGCTCTTCTTCTCTCTATCTAAACTCCAATGTCTAAGCACCTTCTTGCTTTCTCTTTCGTATGCCATGCGCTCTCCATTGACCCCTCTTGATCTCTCTCTCTCTATAATGAATAAAAAAAAAAGAAAACTATCTTTCTCTCTCTAAAACTGCCAGTCCGGTGTTGGTGTGGAGATGGTTATCCCGTTGGTGAAACTTGGAGCTCATGCCTTAAAGACTGTGCAAACCCATCACGTTTAGGTTGAAGAACGAGACTGGCTTGCATCCTCGATTCTACCAACTCATCATCAACTTCACTCAGGCTGAAGAACGAGGTCGATTTTCTCTCTCTAACTGTCTTTTAAGCAGTGTTTAAGCTAGTCATAGAGAGCGATCCGTCACTTTTGATCCTACAATGCTTCGAATTAATTGGTCTTGTTTGTTGTGTGAATTTTTTCTTTCTGTTTTTCTTGTGAAATTATTAGGTTGATCATTGATAGTGATTCATTTGCAATTGGTTTCTTCAAATGTCATAGAAATTTGTGTAGAGTTTGCATCCTTCTGTCTCAAATTTCTCACATTTTGCATTTGTCTTGAATCTTGATCGTTATGACCTTAAAACCTTGATATTGAAATGTTGATAGAATTACCTGACCATTGTAAGGGATTTTGTAATCGTTTTATAATCCATCATTTTCTTCTTGCTTTTGAATATGGTAGTAAAAAGCATGATTGCTCATCTGTGTTAGCTATCTAATTATGATGGTAAAAAGCATGATTGTTCATCTGTATTTGCTATCTAAATAAAATGGTTTGGGCATTTTCAGAGTTTTTGTGATGCTCCAGAAATTGTTGACATATAACTAATGCGGTTACCCTTTGAATGATTGCCTTGTGTCAACTTCCAAGATTTTGACCAGAAACTTATCTCTCACTCT